TTGCATATTCTGCAGCTTTTAAGATCTGCCTACACATGTAGCCGGAAGTTGCTTCATTCTCCCAAAGTAAGATTTTTAGACAAAAATCATGTCCTCAGTCACAAATTTTTTTGTTACCATAGTGATAAGAATAAAGAATGAAAAAAAAAAGCTAAAAATACCTGAAGACAGTTTCAGAAATGTGACCCACTTGGTGTTGTACACTAAAGTAGTTAATCAATTGAATTAGCTACATATGCGCTCAGGTGAAATATTATACTGGATGAAAAAATGCGTAGGTTGCACATCTGGAGCTATTATACACAATCAAAGAAGTCAGTATGAATGAAGATGACAGACAATCTAAAATGCATAAAATCAAATTCTTTTAAGAATAGAATATATACCAGAAGCAAATAGGAATCCATTAATTTAGCTCCTTCTTGCATCAATTTTCTGTTGTCTTTTCGTATTTTAGAATATTTCCTCCATTTTAAATTAAATCTTCTTATGCATCAAAAAGTGTTGTAGCTGGATGGACCAATATAATTAGACACATTTAAAATTACATTGGAGTGGCCCCTTTCTGTAAAGGGAAGTTTCCCAATCTTCTGCATTATAATAAAAATATGCTTTTAAATTAACTTTTATTTTGAAAATTTTAGTTTAAATAAGAATCTTAACAGACATAATCATTTACAGAAAAATCCAACATATTGCAAGGCATTAAGCTAGTCTGTGAAACATGAATAAAAGGCAGCTCTTGCTATCAAGAATGTTTTAATCATCTATCTAATTATGTTCTTATAACATTGATTTTTAAAATGTCTGCACAGAGTAGAATGGAAAAAGCATTCACCTTAACTCGAAGAGAGCAATATTAAAGTTCCAGCTCCATCAATGAGCTTAGAAAAGTCTCTTTCTAAGCCTCAGTTCTCCCATCCATAAAATATGTATAAACAAGCATATCACCTCCTCTAGCACGTAGATCATTATGATAATCAAAAGAGATGATATGGGTAGAAACCAATTGATGGCATTCAATATAAAATCTCTGTTAAAATGAGTCATTATACAATTTTGTTTAATTTTTAAACATTTTCAAAATAAAGATAATTATAAATGTTTATTTTCATAATTAAGAATATGTGAGAATTACTTATGCATAATAACAAACTTTTATTGCACACTTACAATGGACCACATATTTTACATAATTATTTCATTTAAGCCTCACAACAGTCCAGTGACTTAGATATTATCTTCTTATTATAGCTGAAAAAAGTGGGGTATAGGAGGAATATATAACTTGTCCAAAGACAGCTAGAAAGTGGTGGTATAGGGAATTAAGCCCAGGCAAATTAACTCCAGAGCCATGCTCTAAATCTAAGCCATTATGATATATTCTAAAATACTGAGTAGAGAAAAATATCCCTATGAAGCTGTTAATTTGAAAAAAAATACATATTTTAAATTACTAACACTAGTCATATATTTTTTAACTACTTGATTAGTTATATTTTGCTGCATTTAATTTTTTTATTTTATTATTATAAGAAAAATGAAAACAACTTAAATGTATAACAATAAATACATTATAGAACATCCATATGGCAGATTACTACTCTGTCAAAAATAACACTGTAAAAATTATTTGTAGTTTTGAAACTGATGAGTATTGTTAAACAAAAACAATATGTTCAAACTATATATGGAAAATCTGGATTTTCATAAAATAATGTCATATTGACAGAAAAACTTAGAGAAATAGTTAATGTTAACAATTGCTATATCTTCAAAATTTTATATACTTTTATATTTTACAAATTTTCTATAATAAAAATTAAATACTTTTATCATTAAGAAAAAGTCACTTAACCTAAACTGAAGCACAAAGTGATGTAGATGCGTCTACAAATAGGTGAACAAATATTTATCAAAGTCTAAAAAGTTGTTCCAGATATTAGGATACAGCAGTGGCAAAAGAAAGTCCATAGGTAAAGAATTGTGTAAATCTGCACTAAGAACGAAAGAAGAGAACTCCAAACATATAATGAAGCATCCATCTTTACATTCTGATTTACTCACACCTTCATACTAGTATGTGAGCCCTTTCTTTAGATTAAAAAAAAAAAAAGTATTGAAATGTTTGTTTCACTTCCTTACCGTCTCTTCTCAATTACATTGTGGTGACATTATCTCTAAACACAGTAGAAAGCCAGAGCATGAGTATATAAATAGAAAGAAAAGCTAACAAACAAAAATCAGTTGCATTTATCTACATTAACAAAAAATTATCTGAAAAAGAAATTAAGAAAACAACTCCCTTTGCAATCGCATCAAAGAAAATACAATATTTAGGAATAAATTTAACCCAAGAGGTAAAAGATCTGTACGCTGAAAACCATAAGACACTGATTAAATAAACTGAAGACACAAATAATTGAAAAGATATATTGTGTTCATGAATTAGACTTTACATTGTTAATATGCCTATACTACTCAAAATGATCTATTGATTCAATGCAATCCCTATCAAAATTCCAATGGCATTTCATAAAAACCAAACCTAAATTACATGAAACTATAAAAGTTCCTGAATAGCTAAATAAATCTTGAGAAAGAAGAACAAAGCTAGTGGCATCACATTTCCTGATTTCAACCTATATTTAAAAGCTATAGTATTCAAAACAGTATGGTACAGGCATAAAAACAGACAAATAGACCAATGGAATAGAATAGAGAGCCCAGAGAAAAACCCATGCATTTATATGCAACTAATTTTTGACAAGAGTGCTAAGAATACACAATAGGGAAAGGATAGTTTTTACAATAAATGGTGTTGGGCAAACTTGATAACCACATGCAAAAGAATAAAATCAGATGTTTATTTAACACCATATTTAAAAATTAACTTGACATGGATTAAAGACTTAAATGTAAGGTCTGAAGCCACAAAACTTCTAGAAGAAAACAGGGGAAAAGCACTGTGATGGCAATCTTGGCTATGGTTTTAGTTTTTAATATGACCCCAAAAGCACACATGACAGAAGCAAAAACAAACAAACAAAAAACAGTTGGGCACAGTGGCATGTGCCTGCAGTCCCAGCCACTCGGGAGGTTGAGGCAGGAGGATCACTTGAGCCCAGGAGTCCAAAACTAGCCTAAGCAACTTAGATCCCAGTCTCTATCATAAAAAATAAGAATAATTTTTAGAAAACAAGTGGGACTACATCAAACTAAAATGCTTATGCACAGCAGAGGAAACACAATCAACAAAATGAAAAGAAAATCTGTAGAATGCGAGAAAATATTTGCAACCCATATGTCTGATAAAGGATTTATATCCAAAATAAATGATAAACATACAACTTAATAGTAAAAACTCCCAAATAATTCAATTCAAAAATGGCCAACAAACCTGAATAAGCATTTTTCCAAAGAAGATATGCAAATGGACAACAGGTATATGATCATCAGGGAAATGCAAGTCAAAACAACAGTGAGATATTACCTCACACCTAGTATGATAGCTATTATTAAAAAGACAAGAGATAGCAAGTATTGGCAAAAATGCAGAGAAAAGGGAACCTTTGTACACTATTGGTAGAATGTAGATTGGTATACCCACTATGTAAAATAGTATGGAATTTCCTTAAACAATTAAAAATAGAACTACCATAAGATCCAACAATCCTACTGCTGGGTATATATCCAAAGAAATGAAATCAGTTTGTTAGAGATACCTGTACCTCCATTGCAGCATTATTCACAATAGCCAAGATAAGAAAGCAATATAAGTGCCTGTCAACAAATGAATGGATTAAAAAAGTGGTATTATACACAATGGAATGTTATTCAACCTTTAAAAATAAGGAAATTTTGTCATTTGTCACAATAAAGATGAACTTGGAAGACATTATGTTGAGTTAAATAAGCCAGATATGGAAACACAAACACTGTGTAGTCTTACTTATATGTGAAATCTATAAAAGTTGATATAAAAGCATAGAGTTGGATGGCAGTTGCCAGGGCTGAGGGTTGGAGGGAATTAAGGAGATGTTGGTCAAAACATACAAATTTTTGTCTTTCAGTTTGAAAGACAAATAAGTTCTGGGGATCTAATGTACAGCATGGTGACTGTAGTTAATACTGTATTAATTACCTGAAATTGGCTAGGAGAATAGTTCTTACATGTCCTTACCACACACTCACACTCACACACACACACACACAGTGCCTATGGATGGTGATGGATATGTTGATTAATTTGATTGTGGTAGTCATTACACAATGCATATGTATCTGAAATCATCACATTACATCTTTAATATAAACCATTTTAATTTGTCAATTATACTTTGATAAAGCTGGGGAAAAAAAGAAAGAGAAGCTGAGAAGAATCTTAAGAAATTAAAGGAAAATTCATTGAGATTTTTTTCATGCTTTTGTGACAATTTACATCCTCTTATTAGTCTTTAGTGAAGAGAGAAATCTTGCTCCATTTAAATTATTAAATATTCCCATAAACAATATTTTTCACTTATTATTCAGAAAAGAAATGATTTTCTGTGAAACTATATTATATTGAAATAGCTTACAATGTTTACACATTTTAACTTGACCGTGTTCTCCAGTACCAAATCTAACTATCCAGGAGAAAGCCTCCTGGCATCAGTATTTAAAACACAATGGTTTAAAATATACTCAACTTGATGTAACTTATTTTATATCAAAAAACACCTAAAAACTATAAAAATGAAAACCATCTCTTCCATCTTCCTCCAAAAAACCTGTATTGTATTAACTTCTTTTAACTTACTTTTCAAATATTTTCCTTCACAAATATTAAGATCAGATACAAATAAATTTGAGGGAAAGGACTTATAAAAAAAGTTTAGTAAAAGTAAGGGAAGGAATGAAGAAAGGAAGAGAACAACTGAGGAAAGTTGGGAAAGAGAAAAGAAGAAAGTTGAAAGGAAAAGGAGAAAAATAAGAAAAAGAAATGAGAAACTACTCACCTTGATGGACCAGGTCCCAAGTATCATCAATTTGTTTCTGAGTTGGGAAATGTCCACAGTCACTGAAGAAATTGGGGAGCTCACTTCTTTCCATTTTTGGCCAATATTCTCTCTTAGCAAACATTATTTCATAGACTAAAAGGACAAAAATGTAAAAGAAAATATTTTTTAAACAATATATCAAGTAAAAAACTTTAACTCTAGCTTTACTTTCCTGTCTACCAATAAGTCTCCATGATTAGTCTAGCACTATGTCGACCTTCTGGCAAAGGTTAGAAGGAAGTGGGCATGTTTCTCTCTCCTCACATTCCACAGTAGTGAAATTTTTACTTGATTCCCCAAGATGAATACTGGCACCTTCTATACTGGCTTCATGACAGTTGACGATAAATCCTATAATATCAACTCAACCATGTCATAAGACGTAGCTTTTATATCAGGACTTCTGAGGACCTGACACCTACTGATCCACTTCACTCTTCATTGTTTATTAGCTGCTCTACTTTTTTCATCTCTTTTTGGCTTTTAGTCACATTCTAACTACTTAAATTGGTAATTCCACTTTGGATGGCTTATTCTGTTTCTAAAGTTGGCCCCTAATTGGGAGCAATATCTACTTTTTGCTCACTAACTTCATGTATTTCTACTTTCACATTTAAGGTACTTTGTCACTCCTGGCTCAAGACTACCACAGAAAACCACTCAGTTGGGCCACCTGTCACTTATCTCCCATACTTGACTTTAGAAAGGAGTTAGATAACGAGCAAGACAATTGATGCATACATTTTATAAGTGTAGTTTTCCGTAAATAATTTTTTTCTTTTTTCAAAAAAGTGACATTGAGTTTCTACTTTGAAATATGCTACATTTAACCCCATGAAGCTGATTGTATAAGTCAACATTTACAGGATGTCAGGGACTGCTCAAATACAGGTTTAGCTCCGACTGCCAATGGCAAAGGGCACCAAGGTGGTTTCTAACAGAAGTTATATCATCCTGGCACTCAACCACATGGATTTCAGTTTTTCTGTTCATTCATTCATTCATTCATTCATTCATTCATTTAGTTGAGGGAGATAGCTATGAGACATCAACAGATTCAAGACATATTTAGTGATTGTCTAAATATGAATAGCTATTTGAGATCCTAAAACACAGCAGTACAATAAATGAAAATTTATATTTAGTGTATGTATGACTATTTGTCTCTTTTGAAATAAGCAAACTAGAGCAGTTTCTTTCAGTGTCCCATCCATATCTCCTTGTCCCTTAATTCTGTGCATGCTAACTTGATGTTCAGTTGCCAGCATCTGCATTCCATTGCCTAAGGGCTCCCTCTGGCTACAGGCCTTCACACAACCCATCTATGCACCAAGCAGTGGGCCTCAACCAGACTCAGGAGTTGGCTGAGAAAGACCCAGCACTCAAGTTGTTTACACTGTTTTTTCTGAGTTCCCTAGAGGGATTAAGCTCCAGTTGTCCACGTGGTAATTTGCTTGATATTGCACTCTTTTTTGACCCCTCTCCCTTCTGTCTCCTTTCTCCATTCCATTAACAGTATTGCCTAGTATTAACTCCCAAGCAAATTAGTTGTACTTGAATTACTGTCTCAGCATCTGATTCTAAACTAAAACAAAAAGAATATCACCTTTTACTTTTGTGATTAAGTAAATGTATTTCTCCTTGTAAAAGTATATAGCCCTTTATTAGTTTCTCCTTGAATTAATCATTTTATATGTTTCTCACAAGATAATATTGACATACCTATTAATATTATGGCTTTGAAACTGTATAATTGATAACAGTGCCCTTAACCTGTATATTATGCCCTATGAGCAAACTTTCAGCAACATGAAAGGAGAATTAGTATTCAAGGATGATATACCTAGGGTAAATACAAAATTTAAATCACAAAAATTAATGAAATTTTCTGATTATTGAAAGATGCTTAAAAAGTTGTACAGGTATCTGCCAAATATCACCCAATTAGCCATCAACACATGGAAAAGATGAAGAATTTTCTAAGTAACACGAAGACAAATTAGAACTTGCAAATTCTGTCTCTATTGAGTTACTTTACCCCTCAATGTAAATGGATGCTCTGGTTGGTAATTCTTTAAATTATTCATTTACCAAATTCTGTTCTACTGTTCAGCTCCCATGTTGGACAGACCACCATCTGTCCTAACTGGACTCTTTTATTCTGTTTTTGCCACATGTTAGCCTATTCTCAACAAAATTACCAGAGTGATGTCTGCAACACAAGTTGCTTCATAGTCCTCTGTTCCCAATCCTCCAATGGCTTCCCAGTTCTCTCAAGGTAAAATACAATGGTCTATAAAGCTTGACAAAACCTGTGCTCTCGACTACCTTTCCAATTCCATCTTGCTCTGCTCTCCAGTCACAAACTTCATTCCAGTAATACTAGTCTGCTGGCTTCCTCCAAGACTAGCAGCCTCCAAATTAAGGTCTTTGTGCTTGCTGCTGCCTCTCCTTAGAACCTTCTTCCTCCCATAGTCCACCTGGCTTATCTCTCACTATCTATAAGACTTTTACTCAAAAAACTTCTCAGCTAGAAAGCACCAGAGTCCAGGATGGAAAACAGAAATCACATTAATTATTTTTTTCAAACTGAGGGGATATTTCAGGATGCAAAAATATTGAAATCTGCAGTTACAAATTGAGAAGGAGAAATCATAGAAAGAAAGTAAAGATATGAAAAATAAGCAACATTCCATAATGTGAAAAAAATCAATTTAGTGATAGTTTGGGGTATGCAGAGAAGACTAATTGAGTAAAATAGTAGGAGCATTTTGGAAAGGATATGTGATTTGGAAGTCAGTAGCTAAAAATTAAAGTGGATGGAAAAGAAAATTTGTCCAGTGTAATAACTGTAAGGTTTTAGTATATATTGTGGTATTATAAAATCAGTACATTCATATTAGATTATATAATATAAACTACTATTCATAAAAAGAGTACTAAGATCTTCCTGAATTTTGTACTAGTGGTATGGAGAGTTTATGGGCAAAAGTCTTAAAATCTGACTCTCTCTCGGTTCTATAAGTAAAAGGAGTCCAAGTAGCTTCCTAATGGGAGAGGGATCTTCTCTTTTTCTGCCTCTCTCTCTCTTGCACTTTCTCATTCTTTCTTCTTCCTGTCTTCCCACCTCTCCAACACTTTGCTCCTTTCTGCTCTTTTCTCTAGAAACCAGGTTGTTGGGCTGGACTGGGTGAATTAATCTAGCAACCTCTGACTTATATAGAACAATCTCTCTTTCTCTTTTCTCTTTCTACTCTCTCTCTGACTTCCTCCCTTTACCTCTAGCCACAGAAAAGAAACTATTCTAACTCAAAGAGTTCTGGTTAACTGTAAATAGCTTTTAGCACATAATTTTATCATAACTCAATGAAAACTATCATTTTAACAAATATTTTTGAGTCCTTCTTATAAACCAGGCATTTGCTAGATAGTATTTACTGATAAATATAACAGACATAATCCCTTTCTTCATGGAACTTAGTCTTAAATGTAAAATAAATACTGTATGACTAGCTGAGACTACCAACATTTTCACATTTTTACCTTATAAAGCAGCAAGACAATGATTGCAATTAAATATAATTTACTTGTATCTTTTTTTAGTCAAGAAACTGGCTCTAATAATCTATCCTAATCCTAAGCAATACTGAATTCATTAAATATAAATATAAATTGGAATCTCTGAAAATTAAGATATAAATTAGAGAATTTGTTCTATGAATAGAATTCTAACACTAATAAGCAATATGTTGTTTAGTATGGTCAGTGTCCATTAACTACTACTCTGGTATAAATACTTAATTTTCCTTTGTGCAGCTATCCCTCCTCCAATGAAGAGTTTCCGTGCAACTCTCAAGCAAGATTCCCTACCCTCCCATTGCAAAGTGTTGGATTTGTGACTCGAGCTATATGTATCAGTTGCTATCTCCCTGGAATATGAATTTAAAGCATAGCAACAAAGAGTCTTTAAGTGGTAAGGGTTTATCTATCCCCCAGAGGCAAATTGAGATTGTCCCTTATTTCCTCCTCCCTAGATCTCTGAAGCAGTTGTGTTTAATATTCAGTCTGAAATCCAACTCTTTAACTATCTTTGCAATATTCTCCCGTTAAATTTCCTTTTTGCTTTGGTTAGCTAGAATGAGTTTTCTGTTACTTGCAGAGGATCCAAATAAATTAATTCAAATATACAACATGCTAGCTTAAAATGCAAATTGCTTACAGCAATATAAAATATAATCTACCTTTGCTTTCTACAGGTAATTATATTTAAAATTTCCATGGTTAAATTAACTCCAAACTTAAATTCAAAACAGAAGTGTCTGCATCACTTACATTTTTTTCGGTCCATCCATTCCTCTAGCTCTGATAAGTTGACAATTTGTCTTGTCCTCCAAAGACCACGTCGATATCTAACACGGTGGATTAGTCTGCCATACATGTTAATAACTGCTTTCATATCCGGTCCATGATATAAAGCCTACAAAGACAAAAAAGCTCCTTATATATTTCTGGTATTTATATTTAATATGACTTGCCTCTTTCATTTAGTCTATTTCACCTAGTTTCTTAGATTATGGGTGTATTTATTGTTGGTTGCCCAGGTTGGTTAAATATATGCATTGTAGAGTAACACAATCTCCCTGTAGTTCAGAGATTTCCATTATGAATTGCTTTGTTATTATATATTCATACTTCCCATAGAATAGAGCTTCCAATATTTGCTTCTTTCACAGACACTTCCTACACTTGTGTCCGGATTTCTATAATATGTAGCCTACTCTGCCAGAAACGATGTAGTCTTATTAAAGTATTATTCTGTAATGGATGATTCTTGTCTAAGCAGTCCACCCTGGTTGCTCAAATCTTCCTCTTTTATTTCCTTTGGAAATTGTACATTCATGTCCTTTACCTATTTTTCTCTGGGCTTTTTAAGGTTTTGTTGTTGTTGCTGATTTCTATAAATCTCTGAATATTCAAGAAATTAACCCTTTTCAGCATATATGCACATTTTGCTTTATTAGTTTACCTGTGACTACATTCTTTTGTGTATGCATTTTCAACATTCCACCAGAACAGTTTTTTTATTAAAGTTTTAAATATTCACCTATTATGTATTTGTTTTCTCTTTTCTAAAGAGCAATTCCCTTTTAGTTAACAAGTCAACTTTTTTTACATTTTACATTTTCTGGCTTATTAATGTCTCTATATATCTTTATTAATTTACTTCTAAATAATATTTAGATTTATTTTCCTGTTCTTGACTTCTTAAAGGCTTAATTTTTAAAATTTTCATTATTTCTTGTTTGTTTAGGAATGTGTTTACATTTACACATTTTCCACTGAGTAGGCTTTCCTTTTCTGTGTTTTGCATACCATATTATAAATGAAAAATCTGAAGCAGAAAATCTTTAAATAATTTTCCCAAGGCCCCATAGCCAGTAAGTTGTATAATTGGTTTTGAAACCAGCATAGAGACATTTGAGAGCCCACTTAACTATACTCTACATTCCTTTTAATTTAGTGTTTTCATCTATTCTTTTTTTTTTTGAGACGGAGTCTCGCTCTGTTACCAGGCTGGAGTGCAGTGGATGCAGTGGTGTGATCTCAGCTCACTGCAACCTCTGCCTCACGGGTTCAAGCGATTATCATGCCTCAGCCTCCTGAGTAGGTGGAACAACAGGCACTCGCCATCATGCCCGGCTAATTTTTGTATTTTAGTAGGGATGGGGTTTTACCATGTTAGCCAGGATGGTCTCGATCTCCTGATCCGCCCACCTTGGCCTCCCAAAGTGCTGGGATTACAGGCATGAGCCACCGCACCTGGCCGTGTTTTCACCCATTCTACAGGATTTTTTTGTTTGTTTGTTTCCTAGCATATTTCATACGACACATTAATTAATTTATGTATTTATCTATGTATTGTTTTGAGACGGAGTCTCACTCTGTTGCCCAGGCTGGAATGCAGTGGCGGGATCTCAGCTCACTGCAAGCTCTGCCTCCCAGGTTCACACCATTCTCCTGCCTCAGCCTCCCAAGTAGCTGGGACTACAGGCGCCCGCCACCATGCCCAGCTAATTTTTTATATTTTTAGTAGAGACGGGGTTTCACCATGTTAGCCAGGATGGTCTCGACTTCCTGACCTTGTTATCTGCCCAAAGTGCTGGGATTACAGGCGTGAGCCACCGTGCCCGGCCCATATTACACATTATTTTTCTTGTTTCTGTCATGTTATTTCCTGTTTATGTGAAATAATATTTTTGTTTACTTGAATGAAAAATAAATTAGCATAATTTTACTACCTTCCTCTTCTCCTTTCTCCTTCCATCTAATAGCAGATTCTGGATGTTTGCTAATGTCTCTCAACATTTAATAGCATTTTTCAACGTGTGTTTTTAATCTGCCTTTTGTTCAATAGGCTTTTGTCTTTTAAAAAGATAATAAATTGGTTGCACTTTTGGCACATTCCCTACATATGAATCTTAGTGGGAGGCAGAACCCACTTCCCACAATTTGAAGCCAAAAGTCAGATGCTTATGACTCATACCTCTTCTGTTGCTAGGATGTAGACACGTGAACTTCACCATTAACTCCACCAATCCCAAACTTTGAATGGAAACAAATAATGCTTTAAAGAGTGAAACAGTGGGAAATCTATTTGTGTGATAGAGTAAATGTAGCACAAATATACATTTTTCAAGGGCAGCATTTGTGAAGTCAGGAACACCCAGGATTCAGTGTCTGCATCAGACTCTTTCTGTATAGGATTTGGCTGGATTACTGGGAGCTACTCAGCCTTTACTATTCCTTTATGTTTCTGAACTTAGTTCTCTACACCTGTGTACAATATCCTCCTCAACATCTTTCTGCTTAAATCTGTAACTGGATTTCTTTTGCTTATAATTAAGAATCAAGCAGTGTTTTGATTGTATCTTTAAAACATGAAGAGAAAATTCCCGCTTGGAATGTGCTACTTGGACAGATGATGTCTCTGAGAAAAGGAAGGGCATTGGGCAACCACCTACTTCAATTTGAGAACCTTTTCCTCTGAATGTAATAACTCTTTTGGCAACACAACCTATCTTGTAAGGGAGCCCTTTTCAGATCTCAGGCATTTGGAAGGTCACCTAGGGCGTTTCATGGTTAGGAAGTTGAGCCAGAGAAAATTACAATGGTCCATCCATGTGGTTTTTATTACAGGGAGTGTCCCTACCAGCCTTTTGCATGGAAATATGCTTCAGCTATTGTGCTACTACATTTCAGTATGTAAATCTTTCACTATAAGTCTAAATATTTCTCAAGGTAGAATTTATCAGAAAAAAATACAAATTTCTACTTAAAACAGCAATATTGCAATATAGTTATTGCAAATTACTGATTATAATATTCAAATTTCTATTATCTTAATGGACAAATGTATTATACCTATCAACATTTAATAAAATTTTCCAGTATTTATTTCAATTTGCTTTTGCTTGATATGGTCATGTCTTTTTTTTCTTAAGTAATTTATTCAACTTTTGGAGAATTCCGCCATCATATGACACTTAGTATGACTTAATTTCCGTTACTGTGTTTCTTATCAGTTTGGAAGAGATCTTTATATGTTAGGTTTTTTAAACTTTGTGTCATATTTCAGCAAATATTTTGCCAGTTTGACTTTTTAACTTTGAAAAAGAAATGCTATAAACCTATAAGAAGATATCTTGACCACATTTATTGAAGTCTAACCTTATCTAAGCATTTAGGTATGAAAATATCAAAAAAGTCTTTATTCAAAAGTCTTATAAAAACAAAACGGAAAATTTTTTAAATGACTAAACCTATACACAGTGAAATAATAATTGAACATTCTAAATCGTTATCTCAATCTCATATGCATAAACACACACTTACAAATATGCAAGCCACAAATACCACTAAGTGTGAATCTTATATTCACTTCCCCATCCACTAAGAAACTAGTGAAGACCTTATTCCATGCATAGCTAGTGGACATGTGTCTCTCCTAGGTTTGGTTCCTCTTGCACTTTTTCAGGCCTCTCCTCTGTGTCCATGTTGCTTGCTGTACTCATTTTGATCTGAGTCAAAGATTATTTTTACTACTATCTGAAGCATATGCCTCAATCACTCTATGTCTAATTGCTCAGTACAGAAACTTAAACAAACATTCTTGGTCAACTTTATCATTAAATATAAATAAAAATATATTGTTTCCCCCACAGTGTACTCTGAAAAACGTTAAATAGCAGCTCCTAATTGCCATAGAAAGGGTACCTCTCTACAGGCCGTGGTTCTTATCTTCATGTTTCTGGTGTGAGCTCACCTGAATTAGCTCTATTAGCACCAGGTGGGAGTACTATCTAGCCTTGGCTTTTGGCAGGAAACTCCAAACATTGGAGTTTCCTGACCTGAGAAAAGACTCCACCATTTGCAATGATTGGACAATTCTGGTACCAGAATGGTCTCATGTTTTACAGTGCTCTGGAGCTAGACAGACTTATGTTTGATTCTCAAAATTCATTCTCATCTATGTCACTTGCAAGATGTCCAACTTTGGGTAATTATGTTACATCTCCATGCCTCGTTTTTCATAATTACTAAAGAAAATTATACAACCTGGAGAAATGATACCACTCCAATTCTTGATCACCAACCTCAGTGAGGTTCTCAAAGTGGCCTGGAATTTCATGCATGCTTTTTAAGGCATCTCTCTGCCATTTTCTGTAGTACCTCAATCTCCTCAAACATTCAAACCCGTCTAAATGCTTACTCTCACCAAATGGCCCAATTCCTTACTTCACAAAGGAAGAAAAAACAATTAGTTTATTGCAACCTCAACTTCCCACCAGCAAGTCTAAATATTTAACTGCATCTACACATCTTCTTCTCCTGCAACAACGGAGAAATATGTTTCCTCTCACTTAACGCTAATCTTGTCAAGTATCTTGAAAATCCACCCCCTCCAATCTCCTTAAAGGCCTTATAATACAGATTATCTTCATCTTTCTTGTATTGACAACCTTTCCCTCTTACTGGCTTCTTCCAATGAGCATTTAAGCATACATAAATATTTTTTATCTTAAATTATCCTTCTCTAAACCTCATAGTGCCTCAATTTATCTACTGCAGATGTTTTCACTGCATGAACTTACTGTTACTAGAGCCAGAAAATTCTGTCTAGCAGCATTGGAGACTGTGGACCTAACCCTCTTCCTTCTACTGCCTTTCAAGTGCCTTGATGTAGCATCTTCTGGTTTTCTTCTTACCTCTCTGGTTAATACTTTCATGTTTGTGGAATACTCATCTTCTGCTTCCCTTTGAACGCCAACCAGTTTCTCTCAATCTTTCTTTGTAGGATTCTCTCTTTATATAGTCTCCCTAGACAATGACATGGACTCTCATGGCTCCAGTTAGTATCAGTAATGATGATTCTCAAATCTATGGGTGGCAGCAGGTTTCAAGGATGGCATCCTTGGT